ACGCAGGGTGTAGCACGGCAGCTCCCACGCCGGACATAATTCCAGCGTGTGCTGCGCCGTGTCCCTGACCTCTCCGCAGTGGTGACAGGTGTCTGTCTCCTCGCGCCCGATTTTCTTTAGATACTCCCCGACCACGCAGTGTCCGGTGAGTATCCTGTAGGCGAGCGGAAGGCCGCGGCAGCTTCTCCATCTCTCTCAATGTGGGAGGACGGCCTCTACGCCCCTGTGTTCCACTTCCTTGCAGATCAGCTGGAAACGCCACTGACCTGCGCGTCCTCCTCGGCGGTGCCTAGGTCCTCTCGGGCCGCCTGCATGGTCGAGTCCTCTCCTCCCAGGTCCCACACTCTCGTTCAGACGTACCGTTTTTTGAACACCAACGCCCGAAGATCCCACGGGGGAGGCGCGGCAAGAACGGTCGCCGACGCGTGGGACACAGTTCGGTATCCCCTGACGGTTCCGATGGCGGTCACCCTGTGCAGCCACATGAGAAGCAGGATGCTGCAGCGACTCGCCATCAGATCGTCCGCCCATATCAGGACCCCGTACGTCATTCGGGACTGAACGACGCCCTCGTATAATTGACGCACCGTGACTCCCCCCCGGATGTTCGCCGATGTTCGACAGCAGGCCGCACAAGGCGTTGGCAGCCGCCGCGGCCTTCGGAATCTGGGAGTCGAAGTGCGGCTTGAACGTTCACTGGCTGTCGATGACGAGACCCAGGTATCGCATTTGCGAACCCACCCCGACCGTTTCGCCCGCCGTGCTTATGCTCAGACGGAGCGGAGAAGTCCCTCGACTCTTCTTGTCGAAGAACCAGATGGCCTCCGACTTTGCAGGGGAGATACTGGGGCCCAGTCCGCGCATAGCACGTATCGCGCAGGCAGTCGCGACTTCGCCGATGCGCAATATAATATCATACGTGACTCAATAGCTCCTGTAATAGTCAATTGCTAAAATTAAAAATCTTCTCTTAAACTTGCAGTGAGTTGCAGGAAGGACAACAACTACATAATATCTGGCGGATCACCTACCAGATGTATCGTACGAGCAATGTCCCTATCATGGCAATATTATAAATATAAATTATAATTAGCTAAACTAAATATATAGCATATAACATACCTACCATTTAAATGGGAACCTCACCTATACCATTCATCATACATCTTACAATACTGTACTTATAATTAAATTAGAAATTACACATAATCATCTTAAATCTTAAGACTTACACACTAATTAATAATTCCGCCCTATTAAAACCATATTTATTAAATAATTTATTGCCATATTTACAATTCGGCACATCGTACTCTAACAAGTGTTATACAACTCTCATATTATCATGGCATGGTGTCGAACGCGTTGACGATGTCCAGAGACACCGCAAACGCCACGCCGTCCTGGGAAACCATTTCTTCTGTGAGTACCTGTACGCGCCTGATCGCGTCGATCGTCGAACATCCCTTCCGAAAGCTGCACTGTCTGTCGTGCCAATCCGGTACCCGCCCCGACATGTGTCTTCGCAGACGGGCGGCAACGACTCTCTCGAGGAGCTTGCCGATCTCATCTAGTAGGCAAAGCGGCCGGTATGCCGACGGCGAAGTCGCCGGTCGGCCCTCCTTGCGGAGCAGGACCAGCCTCACTGTTCGTCACGCCCATAGGCTCCATCTCTCAGGCGTCTGTTGTAGAGGTGCCGAAGTCTGGAAACCACGACCCCTATTGCTTCCCTCCAGACCCGGCCCGGGATCCCATCCAGGCCCGACGCCACGTTGCGGGAGGTCATTTTCCTGGTTGCTTCCCACAGCTCCTCCTTGGTGACATCCCACTCCGTGCTCCATTCCGTCGTGAGGGTGGATTCCCGCGGCTGTTCAAGCGCCGAGTCCTCTTGCGGGGGGAACAGCATCCTCTTCCACGCCTGTTTCGGTTGTCGTCATCGTCAAGACCTCCCAGCTCCAAACTGTCGCTATCGCAGCCGCCCGGAGTAGATCTTCGTTCCTCTCCTTTATCTTGCATCTTGGCGGTGGGCGCGCCGTGTCCCTGACCTCTCCGCAGTGGTGACAGGTGTCTGTCTCCTCGCGCCCGATTTTCTTTAGATACTCCCCGACCACGCAGTGTCCGGTGAGTATCCTGTAGGCGAGCGGAAGGCCGCGGCAGCTTCTCCATCTCTCTCAATGTGGGAGGACGGCCTCTACGCCCCTGTGTTCCACTTCCTTGCAGATCAGCTGGAAACGCCACTGACCTGCGCGTCCTCCTCGGCGGTGCCTAGGTCCTCTCGGGCCGCCTGCATGGTCGAGTCCTCTCCTCCCAGGTCCCACACTCTCGTTCAGACGTACCGTTTTTTGAACACCAACGCCCGAAGATCCCACGGGGGAGGCGCGGCAAGAACGGTCGCCGACGCGTGGGACACAGTTCGGTATCCCCTGACGGTTCCGATGGCGGTCACCCTGTGCAGCCACATGAGAAGCAGGATGCTGCAGCGACTCGCCATCAGATCGTCCGCCCATATCAGGACCCCGTACGTCATTCGGGACTGAACGACGCCCTCGTATAATTGACGCACCGTGACTCCCCCCCGGATGTTCGACAGCAG